TGGGCTCAGGTGATCCTTCTGCCTCAGCCTTCCAAGTGACTGGAACCACAGGTGCGTGCTAATTTTTTTATTTTATTGTTGAGATGAGGTCTTGCCAAGTTGCCCAGGCTGGTCTCGAACCCGTGAGCTCAGGCAATCCTCTCATCTTGGCCTTCCAAGGTGCTGGGATTACAGGTTTAAGCCACCGCACCGGCTAGCCCTGTTTTCTTAACCTTTGGCCCCTCCCCTCCCTTGAGGAGGTGACTCCCCTCCCCTTCAATTTACTTTCTAAATAAACTATATTTAGAGCTACTTGGGAGGCTGAGGCAGAAGGATCGCCTGAGCCCAGCGCGTCGATGCTGGGGGGGCCATGAGTGTGCTACTGCACTCCAGCCTGGTGACAGAGTGAGACTTCAACTCAAAAAAAAACCTTAAAACCAAAAAAAAAAAAAAAAACCAAAAAAGAAAACATGGCCTGGCCATAACTCAAAGAGCACATGGCTACACCATAGCTTAGTAAGGCAATGGTCTGATTTTTTTATTTCTTGTAGAGACAAGGTCTCGCCAGGTTGCCCAGGCTGGTCTTGAACCTCTCTGGGCTCAGGCAGTCCTCTTGCCTCCGTCTCCCAAAGTACTGGGATTATAGGCATGAGCCACTGCATCTGGAAACAAATTTTTTTTTTTTTTTTTTTTTTAAAGCCTGGTTTTTCTCAACATGCCTTTAAAGGTTTTTAAATTGTGTCATATCTGGTCAAGTTGAGTTGTTTTTTTTTTTGAGTTGGAATCTCACTCCGTTGTCCAGGCGGGAGTGTAGTAGCATGTTGATGGCCACCGCAGCCTCGATCTACTGGACTCAGGCAATCCTTCCACCTCAGCCTTCCAAGTAGCTGGAACTACAGGCACTTGCCACCATGCCCAGCTAATTCTAAAAAATTTATTGTAGAGATGATGTATCACCAAATTGCCCAGGTTGGTCTCAAACCCATGGACTCAGGCAATCCTCTCACCTCAGCCTCCCAAAGTGCTGGAATTATAGGTGTGAGCCACCGTGCCTGACTTCAAGTTGAGATTTTTAAGAACTTCATTTTTATTTTGTAATAAAATTTACAACTGTATTTTTCCAAAAAAGTTAACAAACTCCAAGCACCTATTAATAAAGGTCTTAAATAATAATTTAAAAATAAAAAATAAAAAGGAACATACTTTACTAAGCAAATAATGCATAATAATTGTTGGAAAATGCTACAATGTGAAGAAACCAAATGGAAAACCCCACAGTATAAAATCACTGATAATCACTGGTAACATTTTGCTGTATACTCCTTAGGCTTTTTTCTTCTCCATATATAAGTTCCTTCTATTCTTTTACACGTATTTTACCAAAAACTGGTGATATATGATATAGTTCGTTCGTTGTCTACCATTTTCATTCAACAGTGTATTGTTAGCACCTTTCCATGTCAATGGAAAGATCTATGCCTCTTTTTAGTACAATTTTTTTTTTTTTTTTGAGTTGGAGTCTCACTCTGTCGCTCAGACTGGAGTACAGTGGCCGCTCCCGGCCACCGCAGCCTCGACCTGCTGGGCTCC